CTATGATGAGCTAACACGTCTAAATACTTATTCAATTGTTATTTTTTGTATTGCAGCTGTAAATAATAAAATATGGGTGACATTCCACAAGGAGATGCTGTGAAGGGCAAGAAGCTGTTTGTACAGAGGTGTGAGCAGTGTCATACTGTGAATCAAGGTGGCAAACACAAGACCGGTCCAAACCTGCATGGACTTTTTGGACGGAAGACTGGTCAATCTAAGGGATTCAGCTACACCGATGCAAACAAGAATAAAGGTAATTAATTATTACCATTACATAGTTCAGTGAGTTTATTGCATTGTGATTGTAGCTAAGGTAGTTGTTGCTACCAATAATACTTAATGTTTATAGCCAATTTCGGTTTTCTTATTGACATTTTATTGATTTTATGTGTTGTCATGAATCATGCAATAGTAATTCTTGTTGCATCTAGCAGGTGTTAATTTTATTGTGTTGAAACAAAAACAACAACTTCCATGTTACCAACAAACTGTGTAGATGAGGTAGTCTTGTAATTAGTCTGAATCATGTTAGAGCGCAGCCCTTGACATAGTGAGCAGTAATAAAACCGAGCTGTCACTGACATATTTTCTGATCTACCTTGTCTTACAGGGATCACCTGGGGTGAAGACACGTTATGGATCTACCTTGAGAATCCCAAGAAATATATCCCTGGTACAAAAATGGTCTTTGCTGGCCTTAAGAAGAAGAAGGAAAGGGCAGATCTTATCGCTTATCTGAAGGAATCTACATCGGCATAAGAATTTCTAATGTGTATTGAGCAAATCCATGGGTTGTCTTTTTTTACATTGATGGTGATTCTACTAACAGATCTGTATCATTCATGATCACAAAATAAAAGGGATTTTATTTACTTCCAAGCTCCTCTCTACACAAAAAAAAAATCTGTTGGTAAGAATCTCCATGAAGTTTAATTATGAATTGACCTCAACTTATTTATAGGAGTATTTCAGGGGATCTGTTGATCAGTAAACTGGTTTTCCAGTGCATGTGTTATGTTTGCTGTGTAAAGCTAGCAGTTTTAAAGATTGTATTTATTAAATGTTGTGTCCCTCAAAACAATTGTATTTAAAAGAAATGCCAGACTTGTCAAGAATCCATTTTGATGATACACTATTGTAAGAGGTTTCAATTCTTACAAAACTTCCCCAATTTTTTATTCTACCTTTTTATCTGGTGCTTCGTACCGGAACTTAAGAGGTTGTATTTTGAGAGTGTATTAAATGTAAATTTAAAATAAAGTGCCATGTACTGAACATTTTGGTTTGTTTGACCCCCCCCCCCCCATACATGACTGGTGATTGTGACTGGTATAATGTACTCAATTACAGCCTCGTCAAAATCCTACAAATGTTACCAGGGTATATAGGGTGCACAAGATTTGTAAACAGTTTTGCATATTCTGCCACTGCTGAAAGCATTGAGCTAATTTACATAAAACAAAAGGTTTTATCGCCAAAATGCTGAATGCAGAGTAACAAAGCGGCAAGCCCCAGTAATTTACATGAGGGTTACTGCTATTGTTACTATGCGTGACTGTTACTAATGGCAGCCAGTGTTGTAACAGCTGATTGCAAGCTAAGCTATAGCAGATTAGTTACATTTGCATAATGGTTGGCAAATATATTTCAGTGGGATTGCAAATTCTGTAACAATTGTCATGAAGGTACAATTCAAAAGTTGATTTGTCTATCTAATCAAACTTTCAGAGCTTTAGTGTATACAGGCTGTACCAAATATGCTTGAAGTAGTGGGATTCAAACTCCTATTGACCATCACTTTCATGAGATAACTCTTGCACTCTCGTCCTTGCACCTTTGCTACTGTATAAATAAAATCAATGCTAGATAATGAGATTGATAATCTGCATGAAGACAATATGGAATACAAATTCTGCTTGAACAGCGAGTCACATGACAAGTCAATAAGTATGTAATTGATTGCATTACCCACTTGGTCAGAACATGGAGGGGTTTATAGTTCCATGTTACTAATACACGTGTGAAAAATAACAGGCAATTACAAAATCTTTGGACAAAAAACAAGTGTGGAGAAATGAACACATGGCCATAACAATGGGTCACCTTGCCAAGATTGGTACATTGTATTCGTGTCTCTATGGAGGGACTGTTATTGTATAATATACATACACTACATGTACCTTTCAGCGCCAGTTTCTAAGCAAAATAGTGCAACATACATAAAAATGAAACAAGTAGCCATATGAATAACCCTACACAGTTCTTGTTTATCATTTGCAAAGTAATTTTGTACAACACTGAAGTGAGTAACATAGACGCACACAAGTCAAATAACATTTTTTTCACAGTATCCTGCTACAGTGTAATGTGGTTAGGTACATGTACATACACCCCTTTAATTTGTGACACTGAACTAAAGGTCAGGAACTTTTCAATCATTTTGTGTGTCAAGTGTCGTATAATGACTACCAGCGTACTTGTATGCCACAGTACATCTAGTTGTAATCATGCCTCAATCACCTGATTGCTAAGATACCCACTGATCTGACCTCCATTTTTGCACATGTGTACCTCAACTTTCCTATTTTTCATCAACTAGAATTATACATCATCACTTATTACTTGTACATGTAAAAGTTTGCCCTGTGTATTGTCTATAGAGAAAGGTATACCCTACTGTATGGGAATAGTGAAGGGTCTTATGGATATAGCAGTTTATTTGAATAGGGAAAATGGAATTTAGTATTAAATACTGAACAGGGACTGTCCATTGTAGTGCTTGTTTTTTTTTTTTTTTAAATTTAATTCTAAATTGTTATATTAGCAATGGCGATCATCTGGCACATTAACAGGTATCCTGTCTCTGTCTACAAATCAGAAAAATAACGACCATAAAATCTCCTTTCGTTATTACATTTGTTAATTTTTAACCTTAACTTTATTGTACCACTCTATTACATGGCTGTAGGCAGTTTAATTACATGCAAACTAAAAATTATTTCACATGCTGCCTTATATAAATCACCCCGACAACCACAGCATATAACATTCCTTATATGGACTTCATTTATTTGGAACAATTTGTCCTGCCTAGCATACAAAGCTTATATTCAAGGAAAATATTCCTTTATATTCAGTGACAATGATTACATTCTGTCAATTTTCATCAAATCATTTTCAAACTCACATGTGTTAGCAGACGTCACAAAATCAAAAATAAACTACCGTAATCATATTTAATATGTGTACCGGTAGTACAATTTACTAAATATTTAGTAATGATTCAAGTAATTGCAGATGTAAACTTTATCTGTTGATACAATAAGTTCCAACAAAATTAAGTCATTTTCAAACTACACATCACCAGTATAAACCAGGAATTTTAGAGTGCCTATCAAAAATAAGCTAAAACAATGATTCTGGGCAATATATTTGACAAAATTTAACTGTCAACAAGAATAGTTAGTGTCAAGTTGACAGGTAGCTGGCTAATACACTGTATCACATGCTTGTGACAACAAGTTTGACATCAGTTCTTATCACTTGCACAATTATAATATCAAAAAATATGTTAAACTTGTAGTTGGGAAAAGGTTGGAATGTTTTAAAGTCACAACCAAGTTCAATCTGCAATGATTGCATGCATGCACGCATGTAGTTCTCAGGGCAAAGAAAACACCATGTGATTTAGTGGAAAAATTTTTACTTTACAGCCGTTCTGAGAATTATTCGGACAGTCAGTTAGCAATATATGTTGGAACTTTGCAAAACACTTGGGTCTTTCC